GATGACCTCATGAACGAACCGTGCAAATGTGGTGCAGTTTTTGGTGTAGTTGAGGCTGTCCACGCCTGGTGGGATCCATGATATTGCGTCGGGTGACATTGTTTCAACTGCGGTGAGCTCCGAAATGTTGTGTTTAGTTCAAGTCGACGAAAAGTCGGAAGAGGGAAAGGCCCGCAAAATAATTTTAATCTCGGGATTTTGTGCGCCTCCCGTAATGGAAAGCGCGAACTTCCTCAACAAACGAATCTTCGTTCACTGCCGCAACGGAAGGTGCGACTACCCAGGCTCAACGCCCTTAGGTTTTCACCGATCGGGCCGGAACGGGTTCACTCCGGACCACCTATCGATATCGCATAATCGCCCCGGGGGTCTTTGGTCGGAATGAAAGACGGACTGGATTTTCAAGCACTGGATAACAACGTCGGATAAAAAAACGAGCAACGAATCATGGGCGTCGAGTTTAAGTCAGTACTCCGACACCTGACTTCCAGTGTGGGAATGAACCCCTTATCAAACCCCCAGGCTTTCACATCTACGGCATTCTCCTAACATTTTTATGCGCCGCAGCGGCAGCAATCGTACTGGAAGCCTAGAAGATACCACCTCGGAGCAGGATGCCGTTCCGCACAAGTGAGGGGCGTGGTTGCTGCGCCTGTCCATGTAACCCGTCTGGCCTATTGCGTTGCGCGGCCTAATTACGTGCATTGTAGCTGAGCACTATAGATTGAGACCATATACGCGATCGTCAGATCTAGGTAGAACTTTCGTATCACCTTTCTTGTCCTGCCTCGTATCACCTTTCTTGTCCTGCCTCGTATCACCTTTCTTGTCCTGCCTCTTCAAGACTGTTTGCAAGCCAGCTTTCTTTTTGGTGCAACCGAACTCTAATCAGCCCCTAAAACCCAAGATAGCACGTCACATGCTAGCACATGCCAACTATCGTTAGCTTCAGTTTCACATGTAAATCTCCCAAATATCCACCTGTGCGAGTCAAACCAAACTCTAATCGCCGCCACCTCGTCACCACTTCTCCCCTCAGCCAACCAAACCAAGACAAGGTAGATATAGCAGTCCGGCAAGTCCTACCAGTATCGTAAACCAACCACTGACCCTTAAAGCCCGGTTTGTGGTAGCCCTAGTAGCTCAGTGGTTAGGGTACGGGGAATCTAGGTCTTCTTGCAATGTGCAGACGCTGCAGAGAGGTCGCCTGTTCGAATCAGCGTCCTACTCTCCAGCTGCTCTTCACTTTGCAAGACTGTAATTCCACCTGCCATGTAATCTGCCACTTAAGTTCTGCTCTTAAGGCACAAAATCCCGTAGGGTTGCGTAGCTAGTCACCTCAGATCACCGCGCCTGTGCAGCTTGAGCTGGCTGGTGAGTTTTTTATTTCCGATCTGTCCTGGTAATTTTGCCTCGAAGTTTCCTTTCATTGTCTTTATGTATTCACAACCAAAAATAACAACGCTCCAAACCCTTATCCTGAACCACACCCATCCCAACTAAAACTGTACAATAAGTATCAGACAAGTTCAAATTGTATTTGCACTGGCAATCTCTTCATTCATCATTGCTATGCATATACCAATTACCTGTACTTCACATTCGGCCTTGTCTTCTTACCAGCCTTCTCTCCGCACCGCCGCCTGACGGTCCCCCCCTTATCATAACCATCACAACAACTTAAAACCAACTCCAACCTCTGCTCTTCTCCTTCTCCTTTAACAGGAGCAGCAGTAGTGGTGCTCTCAAAACTCCTCGCTGTTGCTCGAAATGACCAAGTCCTCCAGCTCCCAACGCCCGCGCCCGCATTCCTCACCGCCTGCCTCTCCTCCAACAACTTCGTCCCAAGACCCAAGACCACAAAATCCCCCAAGTTCGACCACGCCGAACTGTTCCACCACCCACCGCAGACAATAACACCAAGATGCACCACAATAATCAGCACATGCAGCCAGAGAAACACGAACGCGAGCATAATACTCGTCCCCTCGAACTTGTACCCATAAGCAAGCTGCTCGAACCTGACTCTTCTCAGAATCTGTCCGTCTGGCTGTGCGTCCGTGTTATTGGCAAACGTATACCGTACCGTATCCGGGCGGAGTAGGCAGTCTTGCGAATCAAGACAAGGCACCGGCATGCTGTCAAAACCCCAGTCATTCTTCACCCCAGGGAAACTGAAGTGCACGGCCGACATGACCATGCCAATCAACATAGGGATGACCGTGGTATCCGTCGTTCTGGCGGTGGCGAGGACATCAAAGAATGATTTTCGAGTGTCGGAACGTGGGAGCCCGCCACTGTTACTGTCTGAAGGGAGGAGCTCGAACGGATAAATGTCCAGCGCGTTGAGCCAGGTCATGTCCATTTTGATGACCCCCTCCGTCGTGGTTGTGTTCCTGTAACTCAACAAATCTTCTTTGATCGATTTGAGAGGAGTGCCGGGCATGACGGCGTGATTGCGGGGCTTGGTAGCCGAGACGGATACGTACGATGGCGTAGCCTCCGCCCAAGTGCCGACGAAGACGACGATCGATACATGTACAATCTCCAGGGTTGATTCACTCTTCCTTCTATATTTACTGTACGGCTCCGGCGAGGGCCCGGGGGCAACCTGGATGTAGGCGCCTGATATAGGGAACGGCACCAAACGCTGGATATCCACGAACGTCATGAACCCAGCTGTCCAGTTCTTTTCCAGCAGGAGCCTGGCAAGTTCCGTGTCCATGGTGAAGTTAAAAGCTGGGAACCAACCAGCTCCGTTGGCAACGAGGAAGCGATGTGCAGGAAGGGTGGTCAGATACTCGACGCTCAGCGAGCTCGTGTTAACCTCATACAGGCCACACGTCTGCACAAGAACCTGGGGTTGCACCGCCGGCAGCGGATCCCCTTTCTCATCAGCATAGCTATGCGTGATGGTAACATCCGGAATCTGCGATGGCCGCCCCAAAGGTTTCCCAGGCTCCCCAACAAGATATACCATGATAAAAGCCATTTGCGCCGTGTGTAGCGCTTGGGCAGCTGTGCTGAACGGACAGCTAATCCGTACAAGACGCCCGATACCGATCTCCAGCGTTTGAATTTCCTGAGCAGTACAAGCAAAAGTGTCGAGCGCCAGCGTCGTTCTTATGACATCCGTGCTGGATGTAGACCCAAACTCAGGCACATTCGGTATTTCCGCCTCGACAAAATCGGCTTTTCCCTCGTTGTACAATGACGCCAGTAAGAGTTTGGGAAACTCGTCCTGAAAAACTGACAGGCAGTTTCCCTGGCTGTTTTCTTTGAGAAGGGCTGGACAGTCCCATGTTACCCCCAGGTCGGGGCCGATGGACATTGGCTTCAACATGTCAGCGGACATGGGCAAAGGCTTCAGTATCGCATAGCTATCCTTTCCATCTGTAGGACAAAACGAGAACTGGCTCTCGTTTAGCATATCCCGCATAATACTCTCGTTATCTTCCGTCATGAGAAAATTGAGCTGCCGCGGAATCAAAATGATAGCAGAAAATGGTCCCGCAGCCAGAGCCAGAACGGTGACGCTCGTTACAAGCATAAAGGTGAGGAAGACTGAGAATGTTGAGAACAGACTTCGCAGCGCGCCGAGAAACTCGGCCCCGAAAAGGAACAAGGGGCTGTTTAGCTGGAACGGCGTGGTGACCAGTCCTAGGGGGGTACCCTCACCCTCCAGGAGCAGGTACCGGACGCGATGAAACAGAATGTTTGACAGCGAGGCGACTGTAATCCCTTCGTGGATTTTGGCAAGGAACTGCAGCGCGGCTTGGACTTCGTCCGAGGGCCCTGGGTGCGGCCACGTCCACCCTTTGCAGTAGACGACGGTCATGAGGATGGCGGAAGCGGCTGGGTAGAGGTGGAAGAGCGCTGCGCTTCGGAGGACGTCGCGCTTTCGGGTGCTGGAGACGGGCTTTGGTTTCTCCAGCATCTCGTGTCCTGGATTGATGAAGGTGGTCGCCGCGGCGGAGGGTATGGGGACAGATGCAACCGAGGTTTGTTGTTGCGTGCTCTTGGACTCGGATTTGGGAGGAGACGACTCGGAGGTCGGGTCACTTCGACCGGTTGTCGGACTGTCCATGGCAGAGGGGATATTGATGGGGTTGACATTGGAAGTGTTTGTGTTCTCGGTGTTAGGATAGAGGCTCATGATCGTACACATAGGCAACGGGTTTTGAGGACTGAAGGCTTGCTGATTTTGAGTCCAGTCTTTGACAGGATTCTGTGATCCTTCTACCGGTATCTGAAACGTAATCGTTGAAGATGAATCAGATACCCAGAACCAGCATGATATCAGACACAGCGGGAAGGTATCTGATTTTCGGAGGCTATGTTCAACGGCTGTATATTGCGTCTATATATTACTTGCACAGCGTGGTATTTGGGGGTGGCCGGCAGTGGCACAGAAGGCGCAGCACGGCAGTACCTCTTCGCAGTGTAACGTAACGAGCTGCATGCAGTGCTCGTTCAGGGACGAACTGTCCAATCATCGGGTATCTGGCGAGGCACTCCAGTATTTTCCATTCTCAATCATGGTTTGTTGCGGATGGAGTCCATCCAGTCCTGCGACAGCTCAAGTCTGCCACTCTTTGCTTCCGAACAATGCGCTTATCTCTCTGGCTCTACATTTAGCTGCGTTGCGGATGCGGATGTGGACGCTGAGCCGTGCGATCTGGCAACTCCTGGACACGCAATTATGTGGTATTGATTGCCCCAGTCACGCCCAACACTGTATCACGTACAATCGAATGAAGAATTCTCCTCCTTATAGTCATCCAACTCGCAAACACTCTGCAACTCCATCTACGATCTCCCTAAAACTCGTCACCAAATCAATGAGACTATTTATCAGAGACAACTGACGAGGAAAGAAACGAAGCCGAGACAGTTCGCCGGGACTACTTACTTATTACATATCCTCTTCAAAACAAATTGAGGACAAAACCAAAATAAAACTCAAAAAAGAAACTCATGTATCCGTTTTCCGGACTCTTCGTCACCCGTAGGATTCGAACCTACGCTCCCGAAGGAACTGCCTAAGCAAGCTAACAGAGGAAATTAGCAGGGCAGCGCGTTAACCACTCCGCCAGAGTGACTACTGCTTATTATTGTTTCCTTTTTGTGTTCCACTCCTTCTATACCGCTTGTGGGGATGAACATGCGGTTGTGGAAAGCTTGTTGTGGATACAATGGATGACAGACAGCATGCCAGGAAACCCTTACCAAATCAAAACTGACACGAACATCTGTTTGTCACATAACTCTGTGGTGAAGATAATCTGTTCTTGGATTCCTTTCTGTTGATCTATCCAGTTTGTAGCCACTAATTACTAAAGCTTGTCCTGCGAGAAAGAGAAGATTACTAAACAACCACATCTTGCCTTAGCAAGCAAACTAACCAGACGCAGCCTCCCGAGGTATTATCACCATGTATAATAGCAACTACGACCTTGCATGAAGACGGAGTTCGCTTAATTACTCGCACATCATACCACGACCTAGCAAAAAACACAGGTAATAAATATTTGTTGATTATATGCTTCTTCCCCTCCGTCTTAGTATTATGTATAAATATGTACTGTGTATGTAGGAATCCAGCCGATCACCGCCGGCTATCCAGGTAGGTTGACAAAGAAACCGGGTATTAGATGAGTAAACGAATGCAATCCTCCCTATCCAGCTATGCTCAAGAGACCCCGCCTATCCAGTGCTCGATGCATGCTCATGCTCTAACCCAGGATATCAAGTTGTAGGCCAACAAAAGAAAAAAGGGGTACAGAGCCCAGCGAAAGAAAGTTCAACACCGCCCGTAATGCAAAAAAAGGAAAACAAAAATGCTAGTAGTTTGTACAGCCTCCCGCGCTCATTATCCACACTTGTAATCACCCAAGAATATAGAGAAATAGGTCAATCACCCATCATCCAGAACCTCCCTCATCGCCTCTTCAATCTGCTCCAAATCGTCAGGCGTCACCTTACTCGGCAACCCCTTCCGTTGATGCCTAGCAAAATACTCATGAAACCCCGGAATCACTCCCGGCTGGTTGATGCCCGGCGCGCGGAATGTTCCTGCGGATGACAAACTCCCCTGGGGAGACGCCTGCGTGGACTTGGTGATAGACGCGATGGTAGGATTCTGGATAGCAGCGGGAACTGTAGTAGTCGTCCCGATGACCGGAGACCCAACTGGACTCGGGTTAGGCGACGGCTGGGAACTGGTGGACCCTCCCCAAGGCCGCCACGAAACCAGCTTCCCCAGCGTACTACTACTGGACTGTCTGGAGGCGGTCCTGTTGTGGGCGGCGGGGTTCGATACAACACGATTCCCATCACGGGTCTTGCCCATTGGCACTCCCAGTCCAGCCATGGATAGGTTGTCCCTAAGAAGCACGCTCGTCCTCTTGCCGTCAGGGATACCCCGAGCAATCGTTGGGCTGGCAGTAACGGCACTCAGATTGGTGCCTGCAGCAGTCAGACCGAGCGGTCGAAGCGTCAGTTGACTCGGACGAGCCTTCAAGGTGTGTATGTCCATGCCGTTGGAGAGAGACATGATTGATTCATGTGAGATGACGCGCCGCAGGCCTCGCGGGCGTTGCTCCACTCGTGGGTCATAGTGGTCGGTCTCAGGCGGGCGGAGCCTAGACCCAAACTCGTCATCACCCTCAGCATCTGTGCTAATGGTGTCGAGGGTTGTGTCGTCGGCTGAAGGGACATTTCGTGTAAGTTCGGGTATATCGTCGGTTGTGTATGGGCTAGCCGCGTCCTGCGATGCGGCCTCTTCACCAAGAACAAGGTTTGTGAGGGGATGCGGATGCGAAGGGAACGAGGCGTAGGAATGCGACATGTTAGTTGGAAAGAATGCGGCCGCCATGGAAGGGCTTTTTCCGGAGAGCTCTGATGTTTGCTTCCTGTGAGATCTCCAGACTGGAGACATCGGGTCCACACTCGTAGTAGGAGATGTAGGGAAAGACATATCCATCATGCTCCGGTCGAACATCGAATTCCGATTCGCAGATGGTGGAGAACTTGGGGCTGAGGATGGTGCAAAGTCTGATGGATTATCCGACATCAAAGACCAGCGTGCGTTTGGTGGTATCGATATCGTGGAGGTCGAATCTTTCGGGGCGTGGGCGGCGAGGTGCCCGCGGTGGTTGGTCTGCCACTGAGTAGGGTGTGTCATAGGCGACGAGGGTGCAGATACTTGCGGCGGAGTGAAGATGCCGGGGGTAAGTCCTTGCCTCCTCTTCTTGGGCTTTTTCGCTTCTGCCTTTTGGCTAACATGGTAGTGATGGTGGATGTGCAACTCCTGCGATACCTTTGCTGGAGAAGGCGTAGGAGGTTCTTTCGTTTGCAATTCGGCTCGTAGCGTAGGGGTTGAACTGAGGTCTTCTTGAGACATTGGCTGATGAAATACTAGTTGCTCTCGCAGCATCTGTATCTCGTCGTTCGAGTTCATCAACATCTCGCGCAGTTCCGCCATGCCCACCTGCAGCGTAGCGTTGTCCTGCAGGAGATCGCGCACGAAATACGACACCACGTTGTGTCCGTTCTTGCTGTCGGTCATGGACCTCACGGCGGCTGCCCCCTTAAGCCTGCCTGCTGCCGTATTGAGTTCCTTTTCCATGCAGCGTTGCCTCTCCATCCGCCCAAGGACTTCGACGTGGCGTTCCCTTTCCTCTCTGGCCTCCTTCTCCATGCGTTCCAGCTGCTCCTGCATCTCAGTGATGCCTCTTTCAGCTTCCCTCCATCTATGCATCGCTGTCCGAGCTTCTTCCCGGGTGTGAACAAGCGTATTTTGCAGCGTCATCTGCTCTTCCTCCAACAAAGCGATCTGGCGCTCGAGAGTGGCAGCCCTTGCGGCGGCAGCCTCTAGCCTCCGTACCTCCCGTTGGGTATCGCGAAGTGTTGCCTCGAGGGCTTCTATCCTGGTATCGGCGTCTTTGACGACTTCGTTGAGGCTTTCGAGTTCGTCTCGCAGAGTGTGGTTTTCGTCGGTGGCTAGTTTGTTTTTGGCCTCAAGCTCGGTATTCTCGCGTTCTAGCTGTTCGATACGTGTGGCCAGCTCGACACGTTCACGCTCGGCCGAGGCCATGTATGCCTCATGGCGGGCAAGAAGGGTCTGGAGTGCGAATGTTAGCGAGGGAAAGCAGTCCTCTCGTCTCTGCTGGTGAGATCTCCATAGCGCTTGGTCGATAGCCATTGTGTAAACACATGAGGATATCCAACAAGGAAGCTAGCTAGGATGGGAATATGCAGGTAGCATGTAAAGACTGGAATGGTGCTGGTGATAGTGGGTCAAGTACGTCAACTCGAACAATGAGTGATGCATGGCGGGGTGTGTACGCAAGCAAATAAAGTCCCGAAGGATAACAAAGAGTAGCTCTCGAGGATAGCGCAAAAGCATGGGATCAAAGGAAGGAATACGGCAAGACATACCTGCCCCATTTTCGCAGCAGCATGGACATCCCGCTCGACGCTCAAGAGAACCGAGCAATTATGTCTCAGAAAGACACACTCCTCCTTCCCACAGCAGCACCGGAGGTCGGCCGGCTGCGATCCGACAACATCGACGCCCTCCATGGCGTCTCTCGGCGGCTCAGCTCCTTCGTGCATGATGTCGCTGGCTGCCATTCCTGTTCCTATTGCGGCGGAAGGCGAGATCGGTGGTTATCGGCGGTCGTCGCGGGCGACACCATAGTCGCGATGTCTCGATCGGGTATTGCGTTGGGCGTGTGTGGTGCTCGGGCGCGGCGTACTGAAAGGAAAGTTTGGTCGTCGAAGAAAGGAGTGAAATCACGAAAAGAGAAACGTGTGGTGGATTTGCTCAAGGTTATGGCTTCTAGGTTCGAAAGGCGAAAGGGCGTTGACAGCGCTCTCGGACGCGACGGTTCGACGTCGCTGAGATCGCCGTGCAGGACCAGGAACCAGGAAATGCTGGCGCGACTCACTCGAAAATCACTGCGGCGGTCGAGGTCTCAGTGGAGTGGGTGTCGGCCCGTGGCTGCTGGGGTGGAGCCGGGATGTTCGCTGCGTGCGCCGTGCGACGTGGGACGTTCTCGTTCAATCGCGCTCTGACACGCTAACCCGGTTTTCGTTCCGGCCGTTAAATTGACGAGTTTCTGTCAGAACTGGCGCATCACCGACAACAAGAATTTGGTGGTGAGAAACGAGGTTAAAAATCTTGAAGAGACGACATCTTAAGAACTCAGGACCTTGAAACGACCCATGGAAAGAATTCTGTGGCTGGGGAGGTCGCTCGCGGTGGCCCTGAAGGTTGGCCATTTACACGGCCGCAGGTGACGGGAGGTCTGTCATCAGGTCGCGTCAAACTCATCCCCAGGTCCAGCAAGGCACCGTGATTTGCCCCGCGTCACGTCAGGTACAAGCGGGCAGCGGGACAGGACAGCGAGCCGTCCACGAGATCAACCCCTGTCAAAATGACGACGATCCAGACCCTCACAAACTTAAGTGAACCACAGTGAACCCCTCACCACCAATCGCCGCCCTCCTCCAGCCTTCACCTTTCTTGCCTTGAGCACCGTCAATTTTGGCTTTGGGGACTTCACCAACTGCAGTAATCCGTACTTCCCCTGGGTTAGGAGATGAAGTGCTGTATCAACGCCATGAAACAAAAAGAAGTAGTTTGTTTCACTATGCGCGAGCAAGTTGTTTCCCTTGCTTTGTCTCGAAGCCTCGATCCAGCAAGTCTCAGCTCAGCTTGAGCCACCGCCCCGAAAGCCGATATCTACACGTATGCTAAAGTAATTACTAGATCGCTCAATGTGGTATGCTGGATATATAACAATCACAAAAGAAATTCAAAATCCCAAGCCAAACTTCCTTTCCTTCAATCCCAAAGATGCCTCTCAAAGACCCGCCAACGCCCATGCCGGACGTTTGTCTGATGCAGTCAAATTACAAATTATTTACGCAAACACGTCCGCTACACACAATACACCTCGTGACAAAAACGACATCAAGACGGCATGCTGAACTTGCTCCCTTCCTGCTTAAACCAATCCCTATTCGCATCCACCATAAAGTCGGTGATATTAAACTCGCCCGAGACAGCAGCCGTGGTTGTCCCATTAGCATT